AAATACTTCCACACTTTGCTCTTGGCACGGGGGTGGGCCACCAACTTGAGGTCCATCGGGGAGCCGTCCAGGCCTTTGGCCTCCATGGCGGCGGGCTCTGTGCCGTTCATGCGTGACCACCTGCTGAGAAGCAGCGAGACAAACACAGCATGAGAAGGGACCCGGGCACGCAGCCGGCAGTGAGCAGACGGGCGCCCCGGCGGCTCTGCTGTGACGCAGAGGGACCCCACGGGCCGCCACTCCTGGCACGTGGCTCTGGCAAAGTGGGCGAGAGTGTCGGACGTGTGGGCACGCGCTTCCGTCCCGGTGAGTCCTGCGCACGGGGCGACTCCACACACCTGAGGACACGTGTTGGTTTGGCTGCTGGCTTTGTGCTGCTTACAGCTCTGTCCCCATCTCAGGTGCCGACCAACCTAGAAGGTCCACCCACCCAGCAGCACCCAGGCAGGTCGCCTCTGGGGACAGCGCGTTCACAAGCGCCCGGCCAGCCCGATGCCCACCACTACCTGACGCCTCCCTGCCAAGCAAGAATGTGCGTGCCACCCCCCCCCCAACCGCCCGCTCCCTGAGATGGCTCAAACGCGTCAAAGAAGCAAAAACGAGATCTTAACGTGGCCCGAGCAGCCTTCAAGTTGGCTTAAGAGGCAAGAAAACGTTTATTTATTCCAAATATCATGTTTGAAAGGGACGTTTGGTGCGTGCTCTACTGCGATCACGGATGCGTCTGTGATCTGTAACTATATTGCGGTAAAATGGATTTCCCGTTGCGAGCACATCTCGAGATGCCCACGGTGGGCCGTCTCACCCGAGCGCAGAAATCCCCGTTACCTGTGCACAGACGCAAGGGGCCACGGGCTCCGAGCCAGGTTTCGTGACCCAGGAACCCGCCCCTGCGTTCCCTGTCGCTGATGGGCCCACACCCAGTCCCTTTGAGTCACCAATCAGGGTCCGGACACCCAGAAGGGCAGCTGGGTTTTCTTAAAACAGCGGTTCTCAACCTTCCTCATGCTGCGACCCCTTAATACAGTTCCTCGTGTTGTGGTGACCCCCAACCATAAAAGTATTTTCGTTGCTACTCTGTAACTGTCATTTTGCTACTATTATGAATCGTAACGTAAATATCTTTTTGTTTTCCGATGGTCTTAGGCGACCCCTGTGAAAGGCTCATTTGACCCCCAAAGGGGTCGTGACCCACAGGTTGAGAACCGCTGTCTTAAAAGGTTGTCTATTATATGTGCAAGCTTTCAACTTGCTGTACAGTACTCAGGGGGGAATAACAAATTGTACGCACTAGCCATTTCCTGCATTAGGTGACCTGTTCAGAGCCCAATCACTATAGCGATTATAGAATGAATTGTGTCCCTCAAAACTCATGTTCTCCCAGAACCTCACAACAGGCCTTACGTGGAAACAGGGTCTGTGCAGATGGGACTGAGTGAGGATCTGAGATAAGGTTGTCCTGGGTCAGGGGGGCCCTGAGCCCAACGACAGTGTCCTTATCGGGGACAGAAGAGGAGGGACACAGACACAGAGGGGACGCCACGTGGAGACGGAGGCAGAGACGGGGGGGAGGCGGCCACCCACCCAGGGACGCCTGGAGCCCCCAGGAGCTGGACGGGGCAGGAGGGACCGTCCCCTGGGGCCTCCGGAGGGAGCACGGCCCTGGGACAGCGTGGTGGCAGCCTCTGGCCTCCAGGACGGGGGCGGACACAAGGATACATTTCTGTTGTTTCAAGCCCCTGGGTCGTGGTCACTGTCACAGTCACCCCAGGACACTCATACAAGGCCTCATAACCGCTTCATTTGCACCATCAGCGTCATGGATTAAGGCTTCCCCAAAGCAGCCTGTCACCAGGTCCTTCTCACAGGGCGGTCCCAGCGTCTCTGGGGGACCGTCCCCAAGACCCGCCCAGGGCTCCGGCAAGGTGCTTTTCTCAGTTGGGAGAGCGCCCAGGCTTTCTCTGTGCACTTGGACCAAGAAAACGGACCACCAGAGACAGGACAAACAGCTGAGTGGGGGATTACCACCACACAGCCGTAACTCAGGAGAGGCAAAACCCACACCCAGGGCCACTGCCCTCCCTGAGATTTTGGTTTTCTTTTCATTTTGGAGAATATAGCTGTTTTGCATCCGACAAAAATTATGTTACTGGCGGTAACATGGAAGCGGTGTGTTATTGTTATTTTAGGTACATTGTTAAGAATTTAAAAAGTAGTTTTAAATGTCTGTGTGAATTCCCAATTAGGGCAAATATTGTAGGTGAACGCCACGTAAAGAAAAGCTCATCGGGGGGTCCTCATTTTTGAGAGTAAAGGAACCCTGAGATCATGAAGGTTGAAGCCAATTTCATCTTCCTGCAGCCACTGGTCACACGCCTGCTCACAGGTGCTAACAAAACTAACAAGATTTCGCTTTGTCCTTACAGGTTTTTAAAAACGCTATCATTTGAAAGCTAGGATGCCTCCTAAGATAGCTTTGCAAGTGGGCCGGCTGACATATTTTGGGCTAGATAGTCACTGTGCAGGACAGCATTTACCGTTCATCAGTTCCCATTTGCAAAAGAATTCAGGGAAATTCCTTGCCATCCATGAACTAGACTCTCAAGCACATCTCCTCAATTCCCTCTCCGTTTCAAAACTCACTCATGCACCAGAGAAATTTAATTTGTCACAGACAGTCAGTCCCTCAGTTCACCGTGGCAGGTAGAGGTCTCCTTGGCACAATTTGCAACAGGTTTCAGGCAAATGTCTGAGTTGTGATGTCATGTTGGGATACTCCATGCACCCATTAAAATGGGTATTTTAAAATGTTGGCGGCAGGGCACGCCTCCCCCCGTGGGGGCCGCCTGGATGCAGTCTTACAAACGCAAAGGTTTTACAAATTAGACTCTCTTAAGGGAGCTCTGAATTTGCTTGTGCACCGTCTTTGTAAAAAGAGGACCGTCAGGCGGACACATTTCAAGAAAAGCTGGGAGGGGGTGGGGATGAGGGAGAAGGGGAAGGGGTTAGACAGCAAAAATATGTAACTACAATGTTGCCACAGGGACATGAAAGACAGTTGGAGGAATATAAAAAATAACGTTGTAAATATTTTGTAGGGTGTCAGGTGGTCACATGTCTTGCATCATGGATGGGGAAGAGGCTTGATCACTGCACTGTACACCTGAAGCTGATGTTGTATAATATTGTATGTCAGCTATAAGTGAATATATACATATATATATATATATATATATATAAAATACACACACACATATATATATAGTCATGGGACATGGAGTATAGTGTGGGAGTGGAGTCAAGGGAATTGTAATAGATATGTATGATATTGGGGGGAACTGGGGAGGCGGATTGGGGGAGGGGGTTGTCACCTCCAGGGGTAAAAAGTATAACTATTGCACGGTGTTGTACAGCTGAAACTAATTCTAAAAAAATGTATATTTCGCAATAAAAAATAATTAAAAAAAAGAAACCAATACGGTATGTAAATGGATGTGCCAGGAGGTTGCAACTTAGAGAATCACTCACCTTCTTGTATAAACCTAGGATTCATTCACTTGTTTCATCAATATGGAATAAAATGCCAGAAAGTTTCAAAAAATAATAATAATAAAGAAAAGCTGGCATTCCAGAGTGAGGTGCAGTCACGCCTCACGCCGGCCACCCGCGTCCCACTGTACCCAGCGTCTCGGGGCTGACTCAGTTTCCCCTTCTGAGACCAAACTCCAGCTGCTGCCAACCTGACACGGGCGGCCCGACCTCTCGGTTCAAAGTTCAAGGGTTCCTCCCACCGAGGAGCCAATGGGACAGGCTGAAAAGGCACAGACAGGACCGGGCCACCTGGGACGCCGGCCACCAACAAACACATGGGGAAGGCAGTGCCTGTCCAGGATCTAAAATTACGTCTGACGCAGCGGACAGGTTCCTGGCCGGCTGGGGGGAAGCCAAGTGACCAGTGACCAGTGACCAGTGACGTGCGCCGTTCCAGGAAATGACCCTGTGTCCGGAGCACCAATAAGGACTCCATTGCTGGACCCTGGACTGAAGTGGCTACACCACGCGAGGTGTCCCCAGCTTTGCACAGTCCTTCGCGGTTCATAAGTGACAGTGTGGGGACCCACAGAACGGGGGACTGGGGGAAGGGGAAGAGGTGGGGGGAAGGCAGCTGGCATGAAGGGGGTCGGACACACGGAAACGGGTGTAAGCTCGTCTTTGGGTGGTGACCACGCAACGCAGCAGGCAGACACCAAATCATAACGTTGTACCCCTGAAATTTAGTGTCACGAACCCACGTCGCCTCAACAGAGTAAAAAATGGTTTTAAATGAAAGGCACAGGCTCGCCAGGCCGCAGGCCGGGGCAGACCCTGCTCTCTCTTCACTTCCAATCGCCGTTCCTGTGTGTAAAAAACGCCGTTTCTCACGCAACTGCAACCTGAGATGCCATCCGACGTGCGGATGTATCTCCCTTGGGGGGGGGGAGGTTTGGAGGGTGGGGCTCCCTGCACAATGCTGGCTTCTGCTCAGCGCGGCAGGATGGCCACGCGTGCGTCTTCCCACGCGGAACCAGAGGCGTCCGAAAGCAAAATAGAGGAATTCGAAAGGACGTTTTCACAATAAGAGACGCAACGACTGTTGCCTCACCCCGGCGGCGGCGGCGGGAGCGCGCCGTCACCCCGGGTAGTTGCAGGCGGGTGACTCGCTGGGTCGCGAAGCAGAAACCAAGTCGCCCCTGAACGGAGGCGCCCCCCCCACCTCCCTGGGCCGCACAGGCCACCCCCAGGCCCCCGCGCGCTAGGCCCGTCCCACTCCACCCGGTCGTGGGGTTGGGGGGGGCGCATGACCCCCCACTCGCGCGCCGGCTCGGCCCCTCCTTCCCGGGGCGCCCCGCCCTCAAGGTCACGCCGCGCGCGGGCCCGGCGCGCCCCGATCCGCCGCCCCGCGCCTCGGGGTGAGTGTGTGTGTGGGGGGCCCCCGCGCGCCCCGCGCCCCCCGCGCTGACCTGGCTCCGCGAAGCCCCCGAGGCAGCGTCGCAGCAGCTGCGCCAAGATCACGGCCGCGCCCGCCGCGTACACGCGCAGGGCCGCCCGCGCCGCAGACAAAAGCGACATGGCC